CCAAAGCATTCAGCGCAAATTGTCGGTTTCGTTACCAGATTTAGGGGACAATTCATTCATGGCCATGGCCCACTTGTAGCTGCTCGAATTCGTCTGATACTATTTCATGCGACAGGTTCCTGTCGGCGGAAGTAGCCGTGCAAGGCAAGAGTTTCTTCACCTCAACATCTCAATATATCGCTCCCACAACTTCTAGAATTCGCATCAGCAGAACTGCACGCGTAGGACTCGGATCCCAGGCCATCTGAATCATGAACGTCAACTTAATGGACCGCGAAACGCTGAGCTGCCATGCATGTGCGGGTTCTGTGCGTTCCAGTGGTGAAACTACAATCCCGTGACTGGTGACTTCTCCGGATTCAACCTTCCCGCTGAACTAGAAGTTACATCGCAGGCTTGTGCTACGCATCTCACCAATTGTGTTTTCGGCACGGCGCTCGCCCTACTTGGATAGTGGCTATAAGCCTCTGCACTACCTAACCTGGACGTTCTTATCAGAGTTCATCACGAGTTTCTGTCACGAAGTACGATTATCTGAAAGGTATATATTCGGTTCATCCTCGCAGGCCAAGAGTGCAAGTCTCCTCTCTTCCGATCACTGGGTGCTCATGTCAAGCTGGATCAGATATACAGTACAGCGCAGTGAGATGAATTCCGAACAGCGGATTCCGACGCGAGCTGCAGCCCCGTTTAACAAGAATAGTGCCGACATCATTTTTCGGACCGCGGATGAAGTCGACTTCCATTTGCACAAGGCGGTACTGATGCTGGCGTCGTCGATGTTCGAGGGCATGTTCTCCATTCCACAGCCGACGGCGATCAACGCGGCCGAAGTAGATTTCGAGACCGATTTGCCGATCGTTCCCGTCACGGAGACAAGCAAAACCTTGGACGCCCTGCTGCGTTGTGGAAGACCGGATCTGCGGTGGGGTAGCACAGACGCAGCAGGGCGTCCAAGGTTTTGCTTGTCTCCGTGACGGGAACGATCGGCAAATCGGTCTCGAAATCTACTTCGGCCGCGTTGATCGCCGTCGGCTGTGGAATGGAGAACATGCCCTCGAACATCGACGACGCCAGCATCAGTACCGCCTTGTGCAAATGGAAGTCGACTTCATCCGCGGTCCGAAAAATGATGTCGGCACTATTCTTGTTAAACGGGGCTGCAGCTCGCGTCGGAATCCGCTGTTCGGAATTCATCTCACTGCGCTGTACTGTATATCTGATCCAGCTTGACATGAGCACCCAGTGATCGGAAGAGAGGAGACTTGCACTCTTGGCCTGCGAGGATGAACCGAATATATACCTTTCAGATAATCGTACTTCGTGACAGAAACTCGTGATGAACTCTGATAAGAACGTCCAGGTTAGGTAGTGCAGAGGCTTATAGCCACTATCCAAGTAGGGCGAGCGCCGTGCCGAAAACACAATTGGTGAGATGCGTAGCACAAGCCTGCGATGTAACTTCTAGTTCAGCGGGAAGGTTGAATCCGGAGAAGTCACCAGTCACGGGATTGTAGTTTCACCACTGGAACGCACAGAACCCGCACATGCATGGCAGCTCAGCGTTTCGCGGTCCATTAAGTTGACGTTCATGATTCAGATGGCCTGGGATCCGAGTCCTACGCGTGCAGTTCTGCTGATGCGAATTCTAGAAGTTGTGGGAGCGATATATTGAGATGTTGAGGTGAAGAAACTCTTGCCTTGCACGGCTACTTCCGCCGACAGGAACCTGTCGCATGAAATAGTATCAGACGAATTCGAGCAGCTACAAGTGGGCCATGGCCATGAATGAATTGTCCCCTAAATCTGGTAACGAAACCGACAATTTGCGCTGAATGCTTTGG